CCCACTGCGAGTCTTCTCCCGACGTGCTCTCTAACGGGTACCACACCCTCAAAGCCAAACGTGCGAGTGGGGGAGAATCCATCCTGAGATATGCCCTGGCACGGATTCGACCGCATCGGCGTGGGATGCTCGAATCCAAGCGGTTCTCAGAAGGTAGTTTCGCATCTAGTCGGGCGTGCGCCTTCGTCCATCGGTGCGGGATCCTTCGTGCCTTGCCTTACGGGTATAGCCCCCTTGAGGGGAAGCGGATTTGCCCCTGGACGGGCTGTCTTTGGGGGGGAAATAAAAGTCTCCTCCCGAGACCCCGCCGACTCCCATGGGCACCAGCCAAGGAGGCCACCGGGCCCACGCCGTCGCCGTCCTTCTCGCTGCAGGCCCCCCGGGTGGCTCTCCCTCGGAGCGCCCGCCGACTGCCACGGGGGATCCCCAGACTGGCCACCATGCGCATTCCCCATACCCCCTGGAGCACTGACAAAAATCTCGACGGGAGGTTTTTCACAATTTTCGGCCTCTGGGGACCTCTATCGGGCCTCAGGACGGTCAAGAAACGACTCGGGATGAAGAACCGGTCTTGGGGAATGGGTCGAAAATTCAGGGTGTCTATGTCATGAAAAAATCATGACGTCGGGGGTCTGGGTCTGCAGCCCGCCTCCCAGAAGGGGTCCACCGCGACCCGCCCCTCGAATGCACGGAGCTCAAGGCGTCCGAACCCATGGCTGCCGGGCCAAAACTGCATCCAGCCCCCTCTGCTGTAGTTCATAGTGACCTTTCCCCTGAGAGTCCGCCGACGATCACCAGGCCTACACTGCAGTCAGACTACCGACCACTATTCACTGCGGCCCTCCCGCCAGGGGTCCGCCGACCGCCACTGGAGCTTCTCAGTGTGGCCACCAGGCCAAAACTCCAACCAGTCTCAGTGTCGTCGCCCGAGGAGTAGTCCGCTGTGGCCCTCCTCCCGAGCGCCCGCGTGACTCTCAGGGGCATCAGCTACGGGGGACACCAGGCCCACTCTGTAGTCAGACTTCCCGCTGTCGCTCCCTGCGACCCGCCAGCCGATGGTCCGCCGACCGCCACAGGAACCGCTCAGCGTGGCCACCAGGCCGCAACTCCAGCCAGTCCCCGTGATGGCCCTCCTTCGTTTCGTCCGTGGACTCCGGCCCACGCTGCAGCCAGCCCTTTCGCCGTGGTTCGTTGTGACCCTCCCGCCGATGTTCCGCCGGCCGCCACTCGAACCGGTCGGCGAGGCCACCTGGCCAAAACGGGCATCCAGCCCCCACAGTGTAGTACTCGAGGGCCTTCCCTCCACGAGTCCGCTGACTACGACTGGTGCCAGCCAATGGGGCCACCAGGTCCACGGTGCGGCCAGCCCTCCCGCCGTGGTTCGTGGTGACCCTCCTGTCGAGGGGCTGCCATCGCCACAGGAACCGCTCTGTGTAGCCATGAGGCCACAGCTCCATCGAGCCCCCGTCTTGTCGCCCAAAGCGTAGTCCGCTGCAACCCGCCTTCTGAGCGACCGTGGACTCCCATGGGCATCAGCCACGGTGGCCGCCGGGCCCACGTTGCAACCGCTCCCACTGACGCAGTCTCTCGTGACCCCTGCTCCGTGCGTCAGCCGACTGCCGCGGGGGATTCGTAGGGGGGTCACCAGACCCACCCTGAACAGGGAAGGCCTCCGTCTACCCACCGCCCCACCTACCAACGATGGCAGGGTCAAATCATCACTGACCCTTGCAATCGTTTGATCGAGGGTCCGCCGACTGCACCAGCGGATTTTATGACTTGCGCCGACCGTCCGCCGACCGACCGTCGAACGACAAGCCAGGCGACGAGGACTCGACCGACGACTGCACGTCGGCCGTCCGCCAGTTGTCCGCTCCCCAGCGATTGCAGCCTCGCCACGGGTTGCCTCCACCACCTCCGGCCCCCCTCCAAGCGGGCACGCAAGCTCTGACCCGACGACTCTTGGAGTACCACCTCGGAGCCACTGCAGTCAACCCGCACAGTGAGGGTGAGCAACTTTCTCCTCCGGTCACCCGTGCATCCTTCCCCTTCGGCCCATTCTTGGCCGCTTTCGCTGGCCGCGCCCCGCCCGCAAGGTGTCGACATGGCCCTCCAAGACCCTTGCACTCTTACCGCGCATCCTTATCATCATACCTACCGGTGTGATCTCGCACTGCTTTATTTCGACCGTGCGCTCTGCTGGTTGTCGTGCTGGTGGTCGTGCTCGTAGTCCTGCTGGTGGTTGTGCTGGTGGTTGTGCTGGTGGTTGTGCTGGTGGTCGTGCTGGTGGTTGTGCTGGTGGTCGTGCGTGTGGAGGTGCTGGTGGCCGTGCTGGTGGCTGGTCGTGCTGGTGGTCGTGCTGGTGGTTGTGCTGGTCGTCGTGCTGGTGGATGTGCTGGTGGTCGTGCTGGTCGCTGGTAGTGGTTGTGCTGGTGGTTGTGCTGGTGGTCGTGCTGCTGGCTTTGCTGGTTGTCGTGCTGGTGGTTGGTGGTGCTGGGTGGTCGTGCTGGTGGAGGTGCTGGTGGTCCTGCTGGTGGTCCTGCTGGTGGTCCTGCTGGTGGTTGTGCTGGTGGTCGTGCTGGTGGTTGTGCTGGTGGTTGCGCTGGTGGTCGTGCTGGTGGTTGTGCGGGTGGTCGTGCTTGCGGATGTGTTGGTGGCCGTGCTGGTGGCTGGTCGTGCTGGTGGTCGTGCTGGTGGTTGTGCTGGTGGTCGTGCTTGCGGAGGTGCTGGTGGCCGTGCTGGTGGCTGGTCGTGCTGGTGGTTGTGCAGGTCGTCGTGCTGATGGTTCTGCTGGTGGTCGTGCTGGTGGTTGGTAGTGGTTGTGCTGGTGGTTGTGCTGGTGGTGGTCGTGCTGCTAGTTGTGCTGGTTGTCGTGCTGGTGGTTGGTGGTGCTGGCTGGTCGTGCTGGTGGTCGTGCTGCTTGCCCCGTGCTGTTGGCTGGGCCTGCTGCTCGTGCTGGTGGTTGTGCTGGTGGTCGTGCTGGTGGTCGTGCTGGCGGTTGTGCTGGTGGCTGGTCGTGCTGATGGAGGTGCTGGTGGTCGTGCTGGTGGTCGTGCTGGTGGTCGTGCTGGTGGTTGTGCTCGAGGTCGTGCTTGTGGAGGTGCTGGTGGCCGTGCTGGTGGCTGGTCGTTCTCGTGGCCGTGCTGGTGGTTGTGCTGGTCGTCGTGCTGGTGGTTCTGCTGGTGGTCCCCGAGCCCCCCCACTCCTTATTCCGACCGTGCGCCCCCCCCTCCTCCCCCCGCTCACCCCTGCGCCTCCCTCCTCTTGCCCAAGTCCTCCTCCCACCCTCCCCGCGCCCCCGCGCCCCTCTCCCCCGTGCTTCCCCCGCTCTCCCCGGGCCCCCACTCCCCTTATTCCGACCGTGCGCCCCCCCGCCGCTCCTCCCCTGCGCCCCTCTTTCCTTGCCCCGGTGCTCCCCGAGCCCCCCCCACTCCTTATTCCGACCGTGCGCCCCTTCCCCCCCCCGCTCTCCCCTGCGCCTCCCTCCTCTTGCCCCAGTCCTCCTCGCACCCTCCCCGCGCTCCCGCGCCCTTCTCCCCCGTGCTTCCCCGCCGTCCCCGACCCCCCCTCCCTTTATTCCAACCGTGCACCTGCCCCCCTGCTCCTCCCATTCGCCCCGCTCCCTTCGCCCCGTGCTCCCCCCACGCTCCCCTAGCTTCCGCGCCTTCCCCCCCGCGCTCCACCCGCCTTTCCCGAGCCTGCATCCCTATTCCGACCGTGCGGCCCTC